AATTGTACACTTAATTACCGAAAAGAATTTTCAGATGTCAAAATCAACAGATGAGAATCATTCGTAGAGCCCGGATGCCATCGCGCTCGTTGAATCTCCGTGGTCGTCCCGAAGTCGCCGAAATTGTGATTCCTGTAATCAGAAAAGGCATCAGGTAACGGGACGCAATCCAATTCGCGAGACATAAAATCCACTTCGATTATCTTGCTAAATTTGCAAATTGTATATTAAGTCATAACTTCATAAAACAGAAGCAATAATTAAAGTTAAACCAAAAATACGCGTATATTTGGAATCTCTTGAGCACACGCAAAATTCGATCATTATTTGTAAGTAACTGAACGATCACTCAAGATACAAACAAATTAAATTTTATATCTGTAACGTATAATGCGCAGCAACTACACTGTATTTCTATACAATTAAAAAAAAAACCTTAAAGAACACATGTTGATTATAATTCCTTGTGCAAGATTAATAGAAACAATAGCGACGTGAATGAAGTTCCACGAATGTGAGACATTGATCCAAGCCTGGACCTCGCGCCTAAGCAAGGAGAGGCGCGTTCGGCCGCGCGGATGAGCATTAATGGCTTTATAATCTAATGAATTTTTAGGTTGAGCGTCGGGAAGGACGAGCGGAAAATCCAGATAGGTTTTTCCCCAGAATTTATCGCCGAGAAAGAAAAGATGGGAGAAATGGTCAGGACGGGGGGGGGGGAGCGGCGCTCGTCGCTTATCTCCCGTTTGTCGACGCCTTCCGACCGATGACCAACAAACCAAGAGTCAAAGTTACAAATTTATCCGCGTGAAGATAACAATGATTACTTATTTGACTCGGAGGAAATATATTCAAATCTCGAACACAAATCCCGTTCTCTTCGTATCTCTGCTTTCCGCTTCGTTCTTAAAGAATCTTTCCGGAACTATTTTTACAGATTGTCTTTATATTAATGTTTCGCAAAGCCTCTTTTATGATAGATGCTAAAATGTTAATACTTTCAAATCTATGAAAATAAAAATGTTTTTACTGCAATATTTTTAATGTTTTTACTGTTTTTTAAATGTTTTTACTGCATCTTCGCAGTCTGGATAATTTTCTAGATTGAGTGGCCGTCCGAGTCTTCCTTAGGAAGACAACGACGCTTTGTTTAGTTCTAATCCCGATGCGCGGAGTTTATAATAGTTTGCGCTCTACGTGAACGTTGTTATTTAATTCGCCTATTTACGGAAAAAAGTTACGAAATTCGTCTCGGAATCTTAAATGAGGGCGGGACGAAGCGGCGGCCGCGGCAGAAACGGCCAGTGACTTAAACGCAATAACGAGTAATACGCAGGGAAGTTCCTGGAATAAAATGATACGACACCGTGTAAGATCTACTTTGAAGTCAGGTCCGTGCCGTTCTTTGTACAAATTGCGAGAAAAGCGCAGCGCAAAAAGCCCGTCCACCGCCACCGGGGTTAATACGTTTACGTAGGAAAATTATTTTTAATTTTTCTAGACGTGCCTCGGACGAGGAAGAGAGAGAGAGAGAAAGATAGACAGAGGTGAGGTCGGGACATGAGGGTGTGGCAGAATGCGCGGCACTGCCGTGTAAGAATTTCTTAATTAGATTCGAGCAGCTGCGCGGCCTTTCGTTCTTTTGTTTTTCGACGAAAAATTTCCGGTAAATCGCGATGGCGATGCCCGGATCCGGCCACGCTTGCGACAAGGAATTCGCGCTTTATTAAACGTTTTAATCGACTCCAGATTTTAAGCCCCGCATATTGCTTCGATATCGTTCCAATTATACCAGCATTCACATATTAAAATAAATGATATTTATTTATTTTCATTTCAAATCTATTATTCTCATGCTGCGGTTTGTGGGTCGACTTATTTTATTTATTAATCATTCTTTTTAACCAATGTCAAGTCGAGCAAAGATCTGAAGATTGGTATCTCTTCTACCTGAATCAAGTACTTCGAATACGGTATCAATCTTTAGTGACTAGATATGTTTTCCGTTGTTCCTCACAACTTGTGAACAGATGCCAAAGCGATATTACAGAAAACGGCGCGAATTGACGTGATAACTTGATTTTATACATTTTCATTCGTGACAATTTCCAATATGACCATTTTATTTAATATAAATGATCAGCAAATGGATATTTATGGTGCGCTCTCTTCAAATCTTTTTTCGGTGCCAGCGCCAACGAATATCGACTACACAATGGGGGCTGCGAGCGCGCCCTTAAATGCGTTGGTCCTGTTGCCATTCATTTTATTTAGGAATATTCAACGCCATCGAACGCGGAGCATCTCCGCGGGCCACCATCGCAGTAATCAAGACAGCTTAATACCTATCAGAATACGCGCGCGGGCGCGCCTGGCCACGCGCGCGAAAGGGTAGGCATAAATTCTGATAATTCCGAAATTGTGACAGAACGAAGAAAAATTCTCGGGAGAGGTCGCGGTGAAAAGTGCGAATAAATCGTTGCGTATGCCTTTGTCAACGAAACGGTGGCGAGTCGGGCGGACACAGGAGGGTTGGAGAGCCGCGAGGGTGAGAGTCACCACCAACCACCACCACCACCGTCACCGCCGCCGCCGCCGCCGCCGCCGCCGCCACCGCCGCCACCGCCATGTCTGGCCCTTTTTTTCACCCTGTGTCCCTGGTCCTCTTCACTCCTCTATCTCCTCTACGTCCTGCCTCTATCTCTCTCCCGTCCCCACCCTCCCGTTCTCTTTACCGGTGCGTGCGTACATTTTTATCAATTATTAAGAACTCCTGGCGCTTGTGCTGGTGGTGGCCGTGTCGCCGTTCTGCGCGGGACGTATGTACTAACGGGGGGGGTGTATATCCCGGAGAACGTTGTGTGCCGGTGATACCCGATGCCCACTGTCTTTTTCTCTCCGGCCAGCGGGGCCTTTTGCTCGCTTTTTCTGGCATGCCGCGGACATTAATAACGGCCACGGGCTAACCACCGCCGTCAACCCCCTCGGCCAACGTTACCGTGTCCAGCCGCGGAAAGTGCGAGAGTAATAATAAAATATACGAAATGTAGGCGAGAGAGCATCGCCGCGCGCGGAGCGCGCGAGCGGACGGCGGCCGCGCCGAGGCCGACAAAACAAACGTCGCGACGTTACGGTGTACCTTTCATTGTCCGCGAAGGTACGCGGATCTCCTCGCGTTATAATAATTTAGAGCGACGCGCTGCGGAGCCCCGGCGCTGCCAGGGGCCCTGATTTTAGCTTAATAGAACGGCCGCCGGGGCCGATTCGGCCGGCTTGCCAGCGCGTTTGCCACCGCGTTTGTTTCTCGCGAGATTGTCATTATTTTCGCGCACCGGAATTTCAACCCGCACCCCCCCACGCCGCAAAATTATTTGTGTCGAAGCTGGACGCGGTGTAGGGACGAATTTTGGCGATTCGAGATCGATGTGTCGTGTGAAACATTATTTTCGACAATGAAGATTTGCGGGCTCTCTTGAATGTCACTCGAATTACTAATAAGCAAAGGCCATCAGAGCCAAATGGCGTGGATTATAATTTCCGACACAGTTGCTTGCGCTTAACTTTGCGAACACGACGTATATTACACGGAAAGAATTTTTTCCTCAAATTTACCCTGAAAATTATGTAATCGCGGGACAACATTGCATTTTGAAGGACTTTATGAGTTTTTTTTTGAAATTTTACCATACATTTTGCTAATAATTATGCTTAGTATACATTTTATTAGTAGGATGTATGGTAAAATTTCAAAAAATTCTTATAAAATTCTTCGGAATGCCACGTTGTCCCACGATTACAAAAAAATTTATCCTCAGGATAAATTTTAGGGAAAATTCTCTCCGCGTATAATTTAACTTTCCTCCAACTCGAATAAGTTTAGTCCCGTTTTGTTCGATTGATAAAAAAAAAGAGGAAAAAGGACTGAGATTCTTCATTTAAAGCGTCATCCGAGGACGTACTTTAGTGGGGACTTTTAAACCCATTTACATCTCGTTCCAGGCAAAATCTCGACAGTGTTCGGTAATCTTTGATCGCGCGCCGATGCTGTAACGGGCTGCCACATGGCTTTTACGTTCGGCGCGCGCGCGCGCCCTTTATAGCGATCGTGCGCTCGGAACCCCTTGCGGGGACAACGTTCAGCCGCTTAATTCTGGCCGGCGAGCAGAGCCCGTAACGGCGTAATATCGTTCAGTAACTCGGAATACTTTTATTACGGCCACGCGGAAGCGCGGCGCGTGAGGAAGGGGGCGGCTAAGACTGAGGGGTAGGTCGACGGCGGGGGGTTGGCGCGAGCTTCCGGGCCTGCCGGGCCGTGCTCACGATATAACGAGGGCCATTATGATAAGCGGATGCATAGATTAGACATTACTCGTTAACCCGCCTGCTTGTGACGCAAGGACATACAGCCACGCGCTATCAAAGGAGCCCGATGGGAAACTGACGACCGACCCGTGGGATCCTAATTGCGGCTTGTCGTAGAATTGATTGCTCGATATTTTTTTAATAATATATTAGGCGCACAAATGAATAATCCAAATTTTTCAGCTATATTTAAGATTTCTTTTAAAAGAAAGTAAAACAAATTTGTCGATCAAAGTATTCGCCGTTGCTTTCTATAACTTTAAGCCATCTGTCAGGTAGTTGATGAATTCCATCTCGGGAACATGTTGTGTCTTTGGATACGATAAAGTCGTCGAGCCATTTTCGGATCTCATCCACTGATTTGAAGCGCGTATCGGACAAGGCACGTTGCATCGACCGGAACAAGTGGTAATCGAAAAATCGCGAGAACTTTTTCTTCGTCGGTCGTAGCGCTTCGAGCCTTAATAGTTTTCGAAAGAACTCGTGAGAAAGAACTTCTGTCTTATAAGACACAAAAAGTTTTGAACAGTTCCGGCAGTTCTGTTGAGAGTTCACGGTAGCCCCCGCAGAGTTCTATCGAAATTCCTAATGGCAAAAGTATGTGACTAAAGTGGAAAAAGTTACGGGCGATTTTAGGTGTCACTTTCTGTCTTATAAGACACAAAAAATGTTTTGAAGAGTTCCGGCAGTTCTGTTGTGAGTTCCCGGTAGCCCCCGCGGAGTTCTATCGAAAATCCTAATGGCAAACTATCGATTGAGTCTACTTAGAA